GCGTTGAACGCAGTATTCCAAAAGTGGTTTAACCATTGTCTTGTATAGCCACAACATTACATCCTAACTGCATTCACAAATAAAGGCAAGCTTATCAAACACCACCTTCATTACCCTGTCTACCTGCACTCCACTTTCAGGGAACTATGAACCTGCACCCCAAGCTCCCTGCTCAGCAACACTCCCCAGGACCTTACCAATAAGTGTATAAATCCTGCCCTGATTTGCCCTACCAAAATGCAGCACCTCTCACTTATCTAGACTAAACTCCATCTGCCACTCCTCCACCCATCAGTCTATCTGATCAAGGTCCCATTGTACTCGGAGGTAACCTTCTTTGCTGTCCACTACACCACCAATTTTGATGTCATCTGCAAACTTACTAACCATACCTCCTATATTCACACCTAAATCATTTATATAAATGATGAAAAGCAGTGGACCCAGCACCGATCCCTGAGGCACACTGCTGGTCACAGGCCTCCGTTGATAAAGCAACACTTCACCACTACCTTTTGGCCAGTTTTGTATCCAAATGGCTAGTTTTCACTGTATTCCATGTAATCTAACATTGTTAACCCATCTACCACGTTGAACTCTGTTGAACGCCTTACTGAAGTCCATATGGACAATGTCCACTGCTCTGCCTTTATTAGTCCTCTTCATCACTTGAAAAAGCTCACCAACTTGCCTACCTGTACTGACACCTTCAGGGATCTATGGACTTGTACACCAAGATTCCTTTGTTCCTCAGTACTCCCCAGGGATTTACCATTCATTGTGTATAACCTTTACTTATTAGACCTCCCACAATACATCACCTTGCACTGATCAGGATTAAATTCCATTTGACATTGCTCTGCCCACGCACAAAGCCATGTTGATCATCTCTAATCAGTCCTTGCCTTCCCAAATACATGTAAATCCTGTCCATCAGAATTCGTTCAAACAATTTGCACACCAGTGGTATCAGGCACACCAGTCTATAGTTCCCTGGCTTTTCCTTACTACCGTTCTTCCACGTATGCACCACGTTAGCCAACCTCCAGTCTTCCGACACCTCATCCATGGCTGTCGATGGTACAAATATCTCAGCAAGGGGCCCTAGCTCCCCACAAAGTTCTAAGATACACCTGATCCATTCCCAGGGATTTATCCACTTTTATGTGTTTTAAGACATCCAGCACTACCTCCTCTGTAATTTGGACATTTTTCAAGATATTGCTATTTATTTCCCCAAGTTCTCTAGCTTGCATATCTTTCTCCACAGCAAACACTGATTAAAAAAAATACTCACCTGTTTCCTGCATTCCACACATATGTGGCCTTGCTGATCTTTAAGGAGCTCTATTCTACCCTTACTTTAACGACAGAAGAGTAACTATTTGAAGAAACCCTTTGGATTCTCTTTAATCCTATTAGCCAAATGTTTATTTTGGAAACTCTTTTTCAAGTGGCTGTGATGTGAGGCTTTGCCTGTGGAAATATAGAATTGAATAGAATAGAATCCCTGCAGTGCAGGTGGAGGCCATTCTGCACCAACCTGTGGAGGCCATTCTACCCAGACCCAATTCCCACCCTATCCCTGTAACCCCACATTTAGCATGGATAATCCACTTAGCGTGCACATCATTTTGATAGTGGGAGGAGCCAGCGCACCAGGCAGAAACTCTCACACATGGGGACAATATGCAAACTCCACACAGTCAGTCATCAAAGGCTGGAATCAAACCCAGATCCCTGGCACAGCAAGGCAGCATCGCTAACCACTACACCACCATATTGCCCATTTGAAATTTCAAGTCAAATATCAGATTAAGACCTGACCCAAATTATCAGATCCTGGATATTATCAACCTTGAAGTGTAAGTGGTGCAAGAGTATTTTTTTTTGAAAGTCTGAGTTCAGTCTTTCTTCCTTGCTCTTGACTGCTTCCATCTCTTGCCCAAAATTTATTTAATAATCAGCTAATAGGACGAGATTTGCTTCATGAATCTTGTCTAAAATACCATGAGTTTGTATATCTCAATCAAATGCCCCCAAATCTCCTTTGCTGTAATGAAGACAACCTTAGTATTGCCAAGAGAACAATGCAAATGAAACCCCTCATCCCTCTTGGGTCCTTAATAATTGCATGCTGTCATTACTTGCTCCCCAGGCATTTCCTCAATAGTGCAATTTTTTTTTCCTGACTGTAGTCAGTCCTACAGTCATACAGCATGAAAACATAACCTTTGTTCCACTATGTCTGTGCTGACCAAAAACACCAAATTTAATTCACCTGCACTTGGTCCATAGCCTATTATGCTCTGGAATTTTAACCGCTTATCAAGATACTTCTTAAAAATTGCAAGAGTACTTGTTTCCACTACCCTCTCAGGCAACATGTTCAATGTTTCTACCATCTTCTGGCTGAAAAAACATCTTTCCTCAGATTTCCTCTAACCACTTAATCCTCAGCTTAAACTTGTGCCCCCTGGTCTTAGACCTGCCTACCATGGGGAAAATCTCACAAACAACCATGTCTGTGCATCTCTCAATTTTGTATAGCTCAATCAGATCTCTTGTCAGCCTCCTCTGCTGCAAGGAAGACAAACACAGCCTATCTGGACTATCCTATAACTGAGACTTTTCATCCTAGATAATATCCTTGTGAATCTCCTCTGCACCCTGTCCAGCACAGTCATGTCCTTCCAATAGTGTGGCAACCAGAAATGCACACAGTATTCCGTCTGTGGCCTAACCAATGTTTTATAAAATTGTAACAGATTTTCTTGTTCTTTTATTCTACATTCCAGCTAATGAAGGGAAGCATCCTGTATGCCTTCTTCACCAACTTGCCTACCTGTACTGACACCTTCAGGGATCTATGGACTTGTACACCAAGATTCCTTTGTTCCTCAGTACTCCCCAGGGATTTACCATTCATTGTGTATAACCTTTACTTATTAGACCTCCCCATAATACATCACCTTGCACTTATGAGGATTAAATTCCATCTGACATTGCTCTGCCCAATTTATCAGTTGATCAATATCAGATTGTAGCCTGAGATCAGCCTCCTCACTATCAACAACACCAATTTTGTGTCATTTGCAAACTTACTAATTATACCTTCTACATTCACATCCAAGTCATTAATGTACATAGCAAACAATAAGAGTCCAATCATCAATCCCTGGTATATCGCTAGTCACAAGCTTCCAAGTACAAAAATAGTCCTCCACCCTTTGCTTCTTTTTTGCAAGCCAATTTTGGATCCAGTTTTCTCACTTGCCTTGGATCAAATGGGCTTTTACCTTTCAGACAGGCCTTCCATATGGGACCTTGTCAAAGGCCTTACTAAATTGTATGTGAACCACATTGACTGAACTACCTCATCATTATATTTAGTCACCTTTCAGACAGGATCTCCCTCTAACAAATCCATGCTAACTTTCCCTGATCAATCCTTTCCTTCCCAAATGTTGATTAATCTGTTTTGTCAGAATTTTTTACAATAATTTCCCTACCTTTAAAGTCATACTAACCTGGCCTATCCCTGCTGTCGTTCTTGGGCAAAGGAACCACGTTAGCTAACTTCCAGTTATCTGGTACTTCACCTGTGGTTAGTGATATCAATATTTTCACAAGGGCCTCACCAATCTCCTCCCTTGCCTCCCAAAGCAGCCTGGGATTCATCTATCAGGTCCTGGGGGTTCATGCATCTTTATACCTACTAAAACTTTTTCTTATTAATCTTAACATGTTCTGGAATCTCACCATCCCAACTGAACAGTGCTTATGATAACATTCCAGCCTTGGACTCCAGCAGGAGATTTTAAATTTGAAAACAGAAGTTGATTGCAAGGTGAGTATTTTTGACAATACATCTACAATCTGAACTTTTGATGTTGTGATCTGTTATCTCTGGGAGATTCCATGGCTCTGAGTAGTATCCACTGCTGCATTTCACCTCTACACTCCAAAATCACCCCTCTGCTATTGTTTAAGTTCCTCTGTCTCTAGTATTTAGTTCTGTTTAGTGTCTTACTGCCACTGACCACGTCTAAATGAGTTTGAAACATCCCTAACCATATATTGCTTACTTATCATCTTTACGTCCCCGTAGAATCTTTCAAAATCAAAAACTGTTCTTTCTGTGGTCCAGTCCATTTCTCTTCTATTATATTGATCATCAAGTTCAGCATAATTTTTATTTTCTAATTCTTCTGCACACATGCTAACATTAACTCTGTTTCGCTCTCCACAGTTACAGCCTGACCTGCTGAATATTTCCAGAATTTGTTCATTTCATATGAGAGAGCCTGCTGTATTTTGCTGTTACTTTCTTGCAGGCGTTGGTCCCAGATCTGAGCCTAGAGACAAGGTGGGTGTTACTCGCAGAGGTTTGTCCCTGATATTGACCTATTTTGTGAAATCATTAAGCGATTCCAATACAGAAAGAGGTCATTGAGCCAATTTTTTGCCCATGCTGGGTCCCTTAAAGAAGCAAATCAGCTTGTCGTACTCCCCTTCCCCTTCCCCTTCATTATCTGGCCAATGTTATCAATCCCTAGCTGTCTGTGGAGAAGATAGTGCTTGACCTTCTTGAATCGCTGCAGTCCTTGTAATGAAGGCATTCCCACAGTGCTGTTAGGTGAGGAGTTGCAGGTTATTCATGTAGTGATGATGAAGGAATAATGATATGTCCCCAAATCAGCAAGAATAATTTAGCATTAGAATTAGATTTATTGTCACGTGTACTCAAGTTTAAAAAAAGAACAAGAGTACAGTGAAAAGTGTACAATGTCACCAACACATAGTGCCATCTTAGGTACAAAGTACCTAGATACAATCTTAGGTACAAAAAAGAAAGAAAATAAAAAATAAAGTCACATTACATTACAGATATAGTAGTATAGTTTGGGAAAATAAGAAATAAGCTAAAAAGGTAGACGCTACATGTTTTCTTGAGGGGTTTCCATGTGGTCTGACTGGCTCCACTGGTTCCCAACCAGCAGCCATCTTCGCTCCGAGGCCACTGGCCACTGGCCCCGCTCCGCTCCACGCCGGCTGGCCACTGTCTCTGCTTCGCTCCAGGCCGCTGGCCATCTGTGCTTCGCTCCAGGCCCAGTGGCCACCATCCCTGACCCCTGTCCCCGGACGCCATCCATATTTATGAAGTGCCATTCACATGTCAGACTCTTCAAAGTCTCTCTCAGAAATGTACCAAAGTGACATTAGATATCAGTCCACAAGAGAAGATACTAGCTTCTGGGCCATCAATGGTGGAGCGATTTTAAAACTGAGAATGCTCAAGTGACTGGAATTAGAGGAGCTCAGAAATCCTGCAGGGTTGTGGGATTGGATGGGTGGCTGGAAGCTGATCTTGGGGTGAAGTACGATGTCATGGTCTTAAGCAGTCTGGTCCAGTACCAGACTATTGCCAAGCAGATGGATGAGGCAGTGGTGAGGGGGTTGAGTTTGGTTTCAATGATTTCAATTTTCCCAATACTTAAATGGAGAAAATTTCTGCTGATCCAGTGCTGGATCCCAGATCAAGTCAAGCTTGTGTACAACTTGAAGGGGGATTTGGAGAGGAACCTGCTGCCTTGGTCTGTTGAAGTGGTGGAAGTTCAGGGGTTAGAAGGTTGTATTAGAAGTTGTGGTTGAGTTTCAGGTGTATAACATTGCCTCACCATCATCCCAATATATCACCTTCTGTCTCTCTCTCTCTCACTCTCCCTCCTCCCAAAGAGTGCAGATTCTGATGTAGGTCCAGACCAGGTGATGGGTTCCCTGAAAGACATCAATGAACCAGTTTGGTTATCATCACAATCCAGTGGCTTTGATGCTCACTTTATCCTAATGTTAGTTCCATAAATGACCAGGTTCGTTCATTCGTTCAGCTCAGTTTCAGATTCTGCCTGTGATTTTTAGTTGTTTGTCCCTCACTGTTTTTGCTGTTTTATACCTAGTACTCCATTAGAAGGGAGGATTTGCAGTGGGAAAGTTGAACACAAGCATCACCCAATTCATTATAACCTGAACATTATCAGATTATGAACATGGAAGGTAAAAGTACTGTTCACAGTGGAGAGAAACCGTACACGTGTACTGTATGTGGACGAGGCTTCAGCCAATCATCTGGCCTCTCGAAACATAAGCGCAGCCACACTGGGGAGAAACGCTGGAAATGTGGAGACTGTGAGAAGGGATTCAATTATCCATTTGAGCTGGAAATTCATCGGCGCAGTCACACCGGAGAGAGACCATTCACCTGCCCTGAATGTGGGAAGGGATTCACTCAGTCATCGATCCTGCTGAAACACCAGCGTGTTCATACTGGGGAGAGACCTTTCAAATGCCAAGACTGTGGGAAATGCTATAAAAGTTCCTGGGAACTGACATCCCATCAACTTGTTCACACTGACGAGAGACCATTTACATGCTCTTGTTGTGGGACTGGGTTCAGACGATCATCTGAACTCACTGCACACCAGCGAATTCACACTGGAGAGAGACCATTCACCTGCTTTGAGTGTGGGAAGAGATTCACTCAATCGTCCACCCTGCTGACACACCAGCGCACTCACAATGGGGAGAAACCATTCACCTGCACTCAGTGTGGGAAGGGATTCACTAATTCCTCCAACCTCCTGACACACCGCCGAGTACATAGTGGGGAGAGAGCATTCACCTGCTCTAAGTGTGGGAAGAGTTTCATTGATTCATCCACACTGCTTAGACACCAGCGAGTTCACAAGCCACTACAGTGATGGGATTTTGCTGCTAATCACACCAAGGACTGAACCATGTTCATTTTAATCTGTCTCTGTTGATGTGTTGACAGCTGTGCTGTTGGAGTAAATATTCTGCATAAAGTCAAATCATCTTTGTGTTAAATACAGTATGTTGACTGTTCTTAATATCTCTAACACAAGTTATTTATTTTCAAAGGGCTCCTCCTCTCTGTCTCCTCCATCCTCAGCAGCAACAAGATGCACAAGGACCTGATGGACTTCTTTGTCACTAAAATTGAGACAATCCGATGTCTCTGCTGCTTCACTCCCTTCCACGAGCCTGCCCCAAACATTTCCCCTTGTCCTATCCCTTAACCCTGAACCTTCCCTAGTTTTTCCCCATCTCTCTGATGGCCTGTTCATTTTTTCCATGACACCGACTTTCTCCCTCAAGTCTATTGCAATTAAATTGCCTTCCACCCATGGCTGCTTGCCCCTTTTATTCTGATATTCTTAATGATTCTTGTGCTAGGGTACCAGCAATGAATGAACATAAGGAACTAGAGCTGGCATAGGTTATTTAGCTAATCAAGCCTCCTCCACTAGTGAGTTCATATCTGACTGGATAGATGGATTCTGTTTTATCCAGTGGCTTAGCCTGCACAGAACTTCCACACCTCAGTATAGCTTTCACTCTGAGCTGATATTCTGACAGACATCTGTTCCATCACCAAGACTGCCCATTTTCATTTCTTTGGCATATCCCATCTCCTCTGGCTTCAGCCTATTTGCTGCTAAAATTCTGATTCATGCCTCTTCTATTCCCAACCTATTCCAATACTTTCTGAGCCTCTCTTACTGCATCTGGTGTAAATCTGGAATGCTGGTGTCTTCTTTTCTAATTCTTTCATGGAATGTGGGTATCAGTGGTAAGACCATTTGTTACCACTCCTGATTTGTATTTTAAGCTGAAAGGCTTGCTAGGTTATTTCAGAGGGTGGTTAAGAAATTGCCAATGTTGCGGTGGATCTTAAGTCATATGTGCATGTAGGGAAGGACAGTAAATTGCCTTTTACAAAGTGCATCTGTGAATCAGATGGGTTTTTGATGATAATGTTAGTTTCATGGTCACCATTGCTGGGACTAACTTTCAATTCATAAAATTGATTTATGGAATTTATAGTTTATTTTGGGATTTGAGCCTATATTTCCAGAATATTCTCCAGTGACTTTACCTGGGAAGGGGGTCCTCAGTCAGGATCGTTTTGAAGCAGCCTAGGAAAGGTCTCCTTAAAGTCAGCATCATCTTGAAGCAGTATGGGAAGGGTATCTTTGCGGTCAGCGTCGCCTTGAAGTAGTTTAGGAAGGGTGTCCTCACAGTTGGCATAACAATGAAGCAATCTGGGAAGGGCTTCCAAGCCTCTCTGCTCCTATGATGCTGCTTGGCCTGCTATGTTCATCCAGCCCTGCACCTTGTTGTCCAGGGTTTCCACACAGTTGGCCTAACAGTGAAGCAGTCTGAGAAGAAGCAGAGAAGGTGTCCAGAATGCCTGGGGGGACGGTGGTGAAGGGAAGGACCAAGTGGGAAAGCTTTGGTTTGATTGTCTAGTAAGGAACTTACATTAGGGGCCAGCTTTAAACAGTAGTAGATTCAGAAAGGAGTACAACAATGGGGTGGCACAGTGGCTCACATCATCAGGGACCTGGTTTCAATTCCCGCCTAAGGCGTTTGTCTGTATTGAGTTTGCATGTTTTCCTCTTGTCTTTGTGGGTTTCTGCTGGGTGCTTCGATTTCCTCCCACATTCCAAAGATGTGCAGGTTAGGTGGAATGGCCATGCTAAATTGCCCAAAGTGTTCAGGGATGAGTAGATTAGGTGGGTTACAGGGGAAAGGGCTAGGAGGATGAGTCTGGATGGGATGCTTTTCGGAGGGTTGGTGTGGACTTGTGGGCCGAAGGGCCTGTTTCAACACTGCAGGGATTCTATGATATGAATTTAGAGACTGTCAAAGATTTTATTTAACAGTATGTAAAACCTAATTAATTATATTACAAATGGCAGTACAGAAGATGTATTGTTCATTTTGTTTTTGTGCTGGTGGATCCCATTACAAGCCAAATCGGTGACATCTGCAGTAAGCGACTGAAGATCGAAGAACTCAAGTTGATGAGCTGGAATCCAATGTTCAGACACTGACACATATGTAAAGGGTTGGGGGGGTGCGGGGAGTTAACTTAATGCCATATTGCAGGCAGTCACAATGTGTAACTTAAACATAGGGACAGGAGGATGTGACAAGTGAGGCAGGTAGATGGATCCTGAAAATGGCATTGAAGGAGCCTCAGCTCTTGACCTAGCTCAAGAGGCACGAGGTGCTTGCTCCCTGTATGGATGAGGAAAGAGGATGATTAAACTGCATTGTGGTCCAAGAAGCCATTCCAGCAGGGGGCAGCACAAAGGAAAGTGATGGTGGTAGGGGATTCTGTAATTAGGACAGATAGTGTCCTTTGTAAGGAAGATTGAGTTGCGCATAGTGTGTTGGCCTGTTGCCAAGGTAACGGGCGTCTTGAGTCAGCTTGAAAGAATACTGGGGAGGATCCAGCTGTTGTTGCCCATGTGACACTAACAACATAGGCAAGTAGTTTAGGGAATGTCAGGAATTAGGAACAAAATTAAAAACAGGACCTCAAAAGATGTAATCTCTGGGTCATACCTAAACCACAAGGAAATAGGTAAAGAGATTAGAAGATTAGGTAAGTAAACATGGTTCAATGGGTGGTGTGGGAAAAGGAGATTCTATTTTGTGGGACACTGGTGTCAGTACTGGGACAATAATGAAAAGTCAGTGGGAGGTTGAGGAGCAAATATGTGAGGAGATCGCAGAAAGCTGCAAGAAAAATAGGGTTGTAATAGTAGGGGATTTTAACTTTGCTGACATTGACAGGGACAGCCATACTGTTAAGAGTTTGTTTGGAGAGAAATTTATGTATGTTCAGGAAGAATTTCTCATGCAGTATGTAAATGGCCCGACTAGGAAAGGGATAAAACTTGACCTCCCGTTGGGTCTAGTGACCATAACTCTCTTGGTTTTAACATAGTTACGGAAAAAGTTAAGACAGGTCCACAGGTTAAGGTGCTAAACTGGAGCCGGGCCAATTTTGAGGCCATGAGGAAGGATCTAGCAGAGATCGATTGGGTGAATCTGTTTCAAGGAAAAGGAATGACTAACAAATGGGAGGCTTTTAAAAATGTGATATCAAGAGTCCAAGGGTAGTACGTCCCTGTAAGGGCGATGGGAAAAGCTGGCAAGCTGGGGATCCCTGGCTGATGAGGGATAATGAGGTGCTGGTCAGGAAGAAGGAGAAGGCATACATTGGGTTTAAGCTATTGGGCTCAAGTGAATCCTAGATAACTATAAAAAGTGAAGGAGCACACTTGAGGGAAATCAGAAGAGCAAAAAGAGGTTATAAGATATATTTTGCAGATAAGGTTAAAGATAATCCTAAGAGGTTCTGTAGTTATATTAAGAGTGAGAGAATATGTCCCCTTAAAAATCAGCATGGCCGTCTTTGTGGGGATCCACAGGAAATGGGGGAGATTTTTAATGAATATTTCTCCTCAGTATGTACTGAGGAGAGAATCATGGATGCTATGGAAATAAGGGAAACAATAATTTTAGACCACATACAAATTGCCAAAGAGCAGTCTTAAACCATATTAAGGTGGATAAATCCCCTGGTCCTGAACAAGTCCATCCTCAGACATTGTGGTAGGCTAGGGAAGAAATTGCAGAGGCTCTTGCAGAGATTTTTGCTTCATATTTAGCCACTGGTGAAGTTACAAAAGACTGGAAAGTGGCTAATGTTGTTCCTTTGTTTAAGAAAGATAGCAAAGACAAGCCAGGGAACTACAGGCCAGTGAGCCTGACATTAGTGGAAGGCAAGTTATTGGAGAGGATACTGAGGAAAGGATCAACCAACATTTGGATAGTCAAGGGCTGATTAGGGATAGTCAGCATACATTTGTGTGTGGGAAGTCATGTCTGACAAATCTTTTAGAGTTTTTTGAAGAGGTAACCAAGAAGTTCGATGAGGGTAGGGCAGTGGATGTTGTCTGTCTGGACTTCAGTAAGGCCTTTGACAAGGTCCTGCATGGCAGGCTAGTCATAAAAGTTAGGTCATATGCTACTCTATGACTCTAAATAAGGCAGGGCAAGTGACGGCAGTGTTAGTTGGGGAGTGCTTTGGGAACAGTAACCAAAATGTCATTAGTGTTAAAAAAGCTATGGAAAGGGATAAGTCTGGTCCACAAGTTAAAGTTCTCAATTGCGTCAAGGCCAATTTTGATGGTCTTAGACAGAACCTTTCAAAAGTTGATTGAGGGAGATTGTTTGCAGGCAAAGGGATGTCTGGGAAGTAGGAGGCTTTCAAAAGTGAGTTAATGAGGCTTCAGGGAAAATGTTAAGTTATGCACTTTGGTGGGAAGAATAGAGGTGTAGATTATTTTCTAAATGGGGAAGGGCTTGGGAATCTGAAGTACAAAGAGACTTAGGAGACCTTATTCATGATTATCTTAAGGTTAACATGCAGGTTCAGTTGGCAGTTAGGAAGGTAAATGCAATGTTAGCATTCATTTCAAGAGGGCTAGAATAAAAGAACAGGTATATACTCCTGGTGCTGTATAAATCTCTGATCAGACTGCATTTGGAATATTGTGAGCAGTTTTGAGCCTTGTATCTAAGGAAGGATGTGCTGGGCTTGGAGGGGTTCCAGACAAGGTACACAAGAATAATCCCAGGAATGAAGGGCTTATTATATGAGGAGCAGTTATAGAATCATAGAATCCCCAGTGTGGAAACAGGCCATTTGGCTCAACAATTCTACACCAGCTGTCTGAAGAGCATCCCACCCAGACACATTCGTATTCCTGTAACCCTGCATTCTCCATGACTCATCCACCTAACCTACACATCCCTGAACACTATGGGAAATTTAGCATAGCCAATCCACCTAACCCGCAGTTTGAACTATGG